GCATGGATCTTTCTCTGTGTGTAATAGGAAGAAGTAGATGTCACACATCATTGCTTTTCTTCAAGTGATTCCCTCTTAAAGGAAAACAGCTTCATTTTACTTTTCTCTGCATATGTGGGCCTTTTTAAAGTAGCATTGTTTAAAAGATGACAATTATTTGGCCATATTAATGATAAAATCCAGGTTTCATGTACTCATCTCAGTGAACATGTTTCTGATAATTGATAGAAAGGGTTCCAGCCTATGTGCTTTTCTTTTTACACCCTCTATTTAGATCCACATGCCTGGAAAACAAAACTGGGGCAGACAAGTGTTTCCCAGGCTTTTCATTTGTATTGTTAGCTGTATTTATACTTCCTCAATACATTGCGGTGCTGTGATACAGCCAGAATGAAGGCCAGGTTGGTAGCACCAGGCAGGCTTATGTCACTGCAGCACAAACCTGGCCTGTCACTTTTCTAATGTCTTGTCAAAGGCCCATGAAGTCCCACTTTCACTGACTATGCTGAATTTCCTCTTTTTCTTAAGTCTTATGCAGCATGCCTTCTGATTAACCTTCCTAGCAGGAATTCACCTGTCTTATGAGCACTTGCTCCGTGTGGTCACCCTGTCTGAAGTTGGGATTTTCCCCAGTATTTTGCCTTCCTAGACTCATCTTAGAAGTTAAACATGTTTGCAAATGCAAAGCATAGCATGAAATAATTTCTGTTCACTTTGAATGATTCCTTCTGAATGGATAGGGAAGCACAGGCGTAATAAACACAAACTGACCTCTGTGCTGTGACTGAGTAGGATGCACTGGGGGAGGATTTATGATGGCTCTGGAAGGAAGGTGTGGGGAAGGGACAGGAACCAGCACGCTGCCAGGAGCCTCCCAGGAAGGGATTGAAAATGTAAAGGGAAGAAGTAAATAGTTAGTGAGAGCAACCTGGGATGAGGTAGGGAACGTCCATTTGAGAATTTCTCTATAGACCATCGTTGTTCCCTTGCTTTAGGTTTTGGTAGCAGTGTCCCCAAAGGGCTAGGTTATCCATTAGTGATGCTAGAGTCCATGTAGTTTTTCAAAAGTATACCAGTACACCCATGGTCTAGGCAGGTAGCAAAGCTTTGAGCTTCACCTCTGCCATCCTAGCCTTACCATGATGATTCGTCCAGGGGAAGCACTCTGACTCCTTCTGGTGGAAATGTCAGAGTGCTTCATTTTTGCTGGCCATGGTGCTCTTAGAATGCCATCAGTGTCACTACTTTAGAGCAAACACATTTTATCATTCACTAAGTACAGATGGGGCCTCTGCAGTGTGCCAGGCACTGTTCTGTGCTCTTGACATACATCAACTTTAAAAACAGAGGTCAGTGTCTTCGTGACTCTGACCCTGGAGTTGAGAGAACACATTATTCAGGGCTTCTATAATACTCAGCTCATGTGCTGAGGCTGCCACAACAAAGCACTATACTCTGGGTGTCTTACACAAACAACAGATATTTATTTCTTACAGTTCTGGAGGCTGGAAGCCCAACATCAAGTTGTCAGCAGGTTTGATTTCTCCTGAGGCCTCTCTGCTCAGCTTGTAGATGGTGTCTTTTCTATGTCCTCACTTGACCTTTCCCCCAGGTAGAGACATCTCCGGTGTTTCTCTTCATAAGAAGAGAGAAACAAAATAGTTCTTACAACCACTGGTATTGATTATGGCCCTGCCTTCTTGTTGAACTAACTTCAGTGTCCCCGTAAAGCCCTTATGCAAATACACTTTCATCAGGGAAGGTAGAGCTTCAACTTTCATAGAGGTCGGGGTGGGGGGCACAATTCTGCGCCTAATGTTTGTTATTAAATGGAAAGTGTTCATATTTGGGAGAATAAAAAGATTAGAGCAGGTAAGGAAGATTGGGAGTACCGTCAGGTGAAGGTCACTGTATTAAACAGATGGTCAGTGTGGACCTCACTGAGCAGACGGTATTTGAACCACGGCTCTATTGGTTTTGTTAAAACACAAGGTCCCAGGTGGAGATGCAGTGTGGCGAGGGAAGTCAGGCACACAAGCACCTAGGTTTACTAGCCCCAGCTTTGCATAGTTACAGTTGTGAGGCCTGGAGATGTTCCTCCAGCTCTTGGAGGAAACATCTTTTTGCAAATATGCTAAGCCATTCAAACTGATGGTCTGAAGTACAGATGCTAAGAAACCGTGGGAAATGACACTTTTTTACCATGGTAGCTGGGTACACTAATGGTGTACGAGTAACAACCTTAGAAGAATAGTCACGATACCTGGTGGAGTAGGTGCCTGGGATTGGAGTGATTCTGCTTCTGAGGCATCCCACTGATCTTTAAGCCTAGCAATGATATCCTTTTGAAAAGTTTTAATCTCCTTAATCATAAAAGATTTCAAGTATGTTAGTGAATCTGTAAATTGGTCTAACTGCTCATCTACATGTTTTTTTTAGGTCTTTAATAGGATCATCCTTAGGCAGCATCTGGATGGCATGGAAACTGCCTTCTAGGTATTGGAGTCTAGATTCCAGGTCATGATTTGCTGATTTTGAGTCCTCAGCAATCGACCGTATGGACCTATGTAATCTGTCAGCCCTGTACTGTAAATTATCTTCCAAACATTTAAATCTAGACTTAAATTTCTGATCTGCTACCTTGGATGCTTCAATAACTGATTGAATGACATTGTCCAATTCTTCAACCCTATGCTGGGTATTTGTACCGTTGCATTTAGTTGCTGGGTAACATTGCCTATCTGAGTTTCTAGCTGGCTACAAATATTCTTTAGCTGGTCATGGTCTTCTGACAGCCTAGCCTTTAGGGCCTCAGATGTGGAGGATCTCTCTGTGTTTATCTTACCATAAATACACTGCATCTCATCAGACACCTCTGTCTTTAGTGTATTGGACATAGAGCCAAGCTTATCATCCAATTTTTGTTCCACTTGCTGCACAATTGT